TGGGGCCAAGTTCGGGGCATGTGGTGGGGGTGGGGTAAGGTCATTATAGGAAAAAATGGGTACGCGGGGTGGGGGTTGGGTGGGTAGGGTAGGGCATGGCAGGGGTAAGGTACGAGGATGGAGGTACCGGAATGGAATCGACATCGGAGCGGGACCGGACCCACCACTAGGTGTAAGTATGCAAATTCATTGCAAAGGCACTGTAGCATCTGCGTTTTCCAAATTTGGAAAACTAGTAAAAGTCAATTCTCCAAATCATTAAGGAAAAGAGAGACATGTTTCATTTTTTCCGTTTTGGAAAACGATTTGGTAAACGTGTTTTTCTTTTTTCCTTTCTCCAGTTTTCCAGGAATATCTTTGGTAAACACGTTTCCTGTTTTCTGTTTTCCAGTTTTCTGGAAAACTGGAAAATATTTCTGTTAGTAAACAGGCCCTATATGTTTGTCACTAGTGTCGGCGGGTAAAATAAACACAAAGTACTGAACTAAAATATAAAAATTAAAACATGTTGTTGAGATATATTATCCCGGTCAGTTACTGTTCAGGAGCCCAAGACTGCATGTAGTGTGGAGCCCGATCAGCGAGACCTGATTTCAGCCTATCAGGCCCATTTCGGCCCATCTGGCCCATTAGGTTAGGTTTTCCCCTATCCCCCTTTTCCCTATAAATAGGAGGTTTTCCCTCCATGTAAAAGGACTTTTGCTTGGTCTCTTCTTGCCCACTTCCCCTCCTTCTCTCTAGAATAGATTAGCTATCTTTATCCTCCATTAATGGGAGCTTCAATACATGTACTTTGTAATGGTGAGGAGAGTTCTAATGAGAAAGAGAGGGCTTGGACATTAGCCTATAGAGTAAATATATGTATAAATGTGTGTGAACATGCAGTTTTTATGTGGAAATCCGAAAGGGAGAAAACCACGAGACTTTTTAGGCTAATGTCCAAGCCCTCTCTTTCTCATTAGGCCTCTCCTCACAATTACATTGTACAAGCTCCCATTAATGGAGTATTGAGCTAAGTCTAAAAGAAGGATGGAGAAGAAGCTAAAAGGGATCCTCAATATGGAGGGAAACTCCCATATTTATAGGGAAAGAGGATGGAGAAGGTACTCCACCCTAATGGGCCGAATGGGCCTAAATGGGCCCAGGGCCAAAACAGGCCTGATAGGCTAAAACGGGCCTCACTGATCGGGCTCCGTCCTATGTAAAGTCTTGGGCTCCCAAACAGTAACAGACCGGGATAATATATCCGAACACATGTGAAAGTAATTAAAAGAATTTTCCAAACTCTACCCCCTCGTCCATTCCATGACGGCGGTTCAAGAGAGGGACGAACCAATAGCACTTTGCATTTGCTCCTCCAAGACCAACCTATTCAATAACACTTCACCAATAGCACTTCGCATTTGCTCCTCCAAGACCAACCTATTCAATAACACTTCACCAATAGCACTTCATCCTCTTCTTCAATCTCCATTCCCGCATAAGCTTGAGCCAACACATTCAGGGACGGAACTAGTATAGAGTTTGGGGGTGCACGTGCCCCTACAGAATTTTGTTTGTTTAGTATAATATACGTATACTAGAGAACAACAAAGGGACCTATTTGCATGGTTTATTACTCTAGTGCTGGTGTTCGTGTGTCGGCTAGAAGGAAAGGAAAAGATGGAAATTTATTTCTATTGCTGTAGTCCGTACTTACTATGCAGACCATCTCAATTGCTTATCACCTATTTTGAATTTAAATTGGACCTTTAATTGAAAATTTTGGGCCAATACTAATGCTTGGCAAGCTTGAGAATAATTCAAGGTTTTATTTAGTCCCTAAATCAATCTGAAAGCAGTACAAATGGAGGTGGTCAGATGATGGATCCTCTTAGGTGATGTCTGACACGATCATTTCTTTCGCCTCCCGAATTGTTCCCCCTCCCTTTTGTAATTTGTAAGTTTTTATATTTATTGTGTATTTGCGTAGTTTATTCATTATTATTTCCATTTCTGAAATTGTTAATTTTTTGTTCAAGCTTATTGTTGAGTTTATTAATTATTAATCCAATTTGATTTATATTTTGTTAATACTTGTGCAAATATATTACTCTCTATTGTGGAGTTTATTCATTATTATTCTCATTTAATCAATTGTTAATTGTATTATAATTGTTGATTTGTTAATTGATTTTTACAATTATACTTGTCTTAGTTCAAGTCTACCCTTTCTAGGTTCCTTGATCGTTCTTTATGTAGTTTCCTCATGTCCAATTGTACAAAATCATGTGTTCTCTTTTGGCAATACGCATAGATGTTTCATCTTATGTAAAATATTACTCCGTAATATATACTAATTCGTAGTAATTATATACGATGCATGCCACAACCTTTTCGGCACGTCCTCTTGCCACTGCCCACCTTGTCGAAGATTTTTGGCCGCAATAGACCGTCCGCTTTGTCGAGTTACTGAAGACCTTCTCTTTCCCATTACGTGTGCCCTTCCAACATCTTTGAGCTGGTTCCGCCAGTGAACACATCTATCTCCTTTTGCCCTTGGAATGGATGGCCCTCCTCCATCGATGCCATCATGCGGTCATGCCATCCTCCTCAACCTTGACAACTTTAGAACCTAATATAGCTCTCCTCTAAATCCGTGTAATTGTTGTGTTGTGCCTTGCTGCTAGCGTGCTCAAGGGGAAATGTTGTTTCTCTACTCGATCGAGACCACAAAAAAACTGCCCGACAAAGCGGCAATAGAATATTGGATAGATTGATTGATTAGCAGCTTTTTGATTTGCTAATCAATCTGACGGTAACCTTGCCTATGTGGATCAATTAGAATATTGCAAATTAAACGATTTAAATATTAGTAAATGGTGAATTAATGGCATGGATCAATTAAATAAAACCCTTATTTAGGGGGGTGTATTGTATTAGGATTTAGTGGCAAAATTTTAAAAGTCCATGAATTTTAAAAGTTTAGGTGTATTCAATGTGGACTTTTAAAAGTCCACAAAAGTCTAGGTGTATTCAATGCGGACTTTTAAAAGTTTATAAAAGTCTAGGCGTATTCAAATTTCCGTTCATTCTTATTGACTTCTAAAATCATGGATTCTCGTGGACTTTTAACTCATTTTTAGTGCAAAAATTCTCTGCAATTGTCTCTTCTCCTCACCAAAGATTTCCGTGGACTTTTCTTATATCGGTTCTTCATCCCGTCCCACCCCATTCCTCCCTACCCTCCTAGGGATGGACCGGGCCAGACCCGGTTTCTGTTCCGAGTCGGGCCCGGCCGGGCTTGGAATTTTTTGGATAAGGCCCGGGACCAGCCCGGGAGTCTACTAGTATCGGGCCGGGCCAGTTCCAGGTTGGGCCGGGCTGGTTCATTTTTTTCGGTTTTCTTATGTATTCCAACCCTCACCCCCCAAACCCCTCCAAAACACCCAGCCTACCTACCATAGGCCCAACCCCCCCCCCCCAAAAAAAAAAAGAAAAATGAAAACAAATAAGGCCCGGGCTGGTCCCCAAATATGCAGTTCCGGAACCGCCCCAATTAATCCCCCCGGGTCGGGCCTAGGCCCGGTACCGGTACCGATCCAACGGGCTGGGTCGGGCCCGCACAGTGGCGGGCCGGGTCCCGGGCCAGTCAGACCGGCCTCAGGCCGAGCCTACTCCCCCCCCCCCTCCCCCAACTCTACTCTTCTTTAGCCAATCCACACCTTCTTTTTCAATCTTTCTTTTTTTTCTTCTTCAACCCAGCTCGCCCACCCCTCTCCTTCCGTTCTTCTTCTTCTTCTTCTTCTTTAGCTTGCCGTCCCCAGTCCACCCCCCTCGATTCAGTAATCCTATATTGATTCGATTCTAGAAGTTTATAGAAGAACCGATATAAGAATCGATAGTATTACATTAATGCAATTCTGATACATCATCAGTTAACCATTAAGAAAATAAATATTTTAACTATCACTTTCTTTCATCGTTAAATCGCTTCACACATAAAAATATAATTTCAAATTAATAAATATATAACCATAAATACATATACAAGTTTTTACAAGATAGAGGTTAAAAGAAAACAATCACCAAGTAGAAAAGCTCGATTGCATTTATGCTTGTACCACATGTAGCAATGAGTGTAACGCTTGTGTAACGATTAATGTTCTTAATCATTAATAAAATGGCCAAAATTCTCGAGCATTCTTGAAACTTTGAGTTTTTTTTAATAAAAATAAATTTGAATTCTTATGCTTCATTTATTTTTGTAGAACTTTGTGTTGCTATATCAATTACATTTTTTCATTTATTTATTTATTTATTTATTTATTTATTTGGTTATTTATTTATTTATTTATTTATTTATTTATTTATTTATTTATTTATTTATTTATTTATTTATTTATTTATTTATTTATGTATTTATTATTTATTTATTTATTTATTTAGTTATTTATTTATTTATTTATTTATTTATTTATTTATTTATTTATTTATTTACTTACTTATTTATTTCTTATCGTGCTCCGTATTATATAGAGGAAATCACTCACGGTAGGACTAAAACATAGCATTATTCTTAAAGTATGATTAAATGTTTGGTTTTTCTTAAATGGGAATAAATATTACATATTCACCCCTAACTTAATTAATTAATTAATATAATTAATTGTCCCTAGTTCCCTTTCACAACCAAAGCCATTTTGTTGGTGACGCGTCAGTCCGATGACGACATCGTGGAACTCCGGTGATGGATGCGAACAGGTCACAGGCATATCGGTAGCGACAATCTAGGTGAAAATTTTGACGACCAGCCGTGGCGGTCCGCATTTAAAAGTCTATGGACTTTTTGAAAGTCAATAAACTTATCCATGGATTTAAAAGTCCATAGAATTCATTAATAAAAAAGTCTATGGATTTAAAAGTCCATTGACTTTTTTAAAAATCCATGGATTAAAAAAAGTCCACAACAATCTATATTGAATACACCCTCCTTATTTTATGAGGTACCATAGCAGTGACAGCACTCAACATTACGGCAAATTAAGATATTAAGATAAAATTAAATTCTCTTATTCATTCTTACATGATTATTTTTTGTACAAAGAAATATTTAAGTTTGGCTCTTTCTCTAGGACAGAAATTTTGACACCAACCAGGCATTGCATATTTTTAATTGGACTTGGCAAACTTCAAACTGCCCAGCAATGCCAGCATGAGTGTTAAAAACTTTCCAATACATATGTTCCACTTTTACAATTTGGTTTGTTTTAAAAAGTTTGAAAACTGAGATCATGATATAGGGTTATCCCTGCAGCGATAAAGGTAATCTCGGACGAAACTGTTTAGTATGGAACAGGAACTCGGATGGTGGCCGGACCTGACTTCATGTCCTCCACAATGAGATTTCGTAAAGCTCGAGTTACCAGACCTTCTTTACCTACAAGAAGAAAAATAAGATACAAGTTCACATATAAGAGTTTTAAGTACCCCTTACCTGCCAAATATAAAGATACAAACTATGATATCAGACCTTGAACTACTATTCTTATCTAACTTTTTAAAATGGCACCTAAAGTTTATAAATCATCATTTACCCCAGTGCCGCAAAGGCTCCCACCTACGGTGGAGTAAGGGGGTTGGATATACGTAGTCTTACCCCTGTACTAAAGCACAGAGAAATTGTTTCCGGATGACCCATAATGAAAATAGCGTCCAAAATTGCATGGACTGACTGCTACTTCATAACAAAGAAGAGCAGACAGTTTGGTGAGCCATTTTGCTTTATTCCATCATATTCCATCATTTTGCACCTAAAGTTTATAAGAGTGCAAAATGGAAGTAAAAAAACTCAAATGCTTACCATCACCTATGATCTGGTCATCCCACTGCACCACTGGATGGACTATAACACCACTGCCAATTAACATCATCTCCCTTGCACTCTTTCCCTCATCAACAGACACATTACTTAGTCTGATGGAGCGTAATTTACCGTCTTTTACCAACGCTTGAGCATGTACTAAAGCCCGTTTAGCGGTAAGCCCGCTGAGAATGTTCTCAAAGTCAGGCATCAAAAGCTCATTTTCCTTTGTCACAAAAGCGACATTCATTGTCGGTCCCTCAGCAATGAACCCATCTCCATCCAACCATATCCCGGTAAATGCACCCTTCTCTTCTCCTTGCATCTTCAAAAGCGCATTAGGAAGATAGTTCACACTCTTCATCACAGCAAACTGTGGAGGTTTTATTGGGATGGATGATGTTATTACTTTAACACCCTCATAATTTGGTGGTGATTGGTTTTGTGTTACAATGGCATACAGAGCTGATTGGTGGCAACCTGATGGTGATACTTGAAAATCGCCTGGTCCTGGGGAAAGCCAATACCTTAGTGAACCTTTTCTGCACTTGGAAGCACTTACTGTCTGGATGAGTATTCTCCTGATGCATTCTTTATCAAAGGGAGGTTTTATTTTGGCCATGGCTGCAGATCTCAGCAACCGCTCAATGTGTTCATCCAGCTCGTAAAGATGCCTAAAATACAAGAAAATTTATAGGAAAAAAGGATTTGTCAGGGAAATTAAAATAAAACATACAGAGTAAAAAGTATGTTAATGTTTTAAGCTTTGGCCCCTACAAAGCAAAATTTCAAACCCCTCCCTAATACATTTCTGTCTCCGCTGTGTCATTGGTGTGAGTTTCTGAAATGAACCTAGGAGCAGGAACATAATAAATAGTCTTTCATTCTTCATATGCCATGCTTTAATTACCACTTCTGGGATTTTGTGGAGTACTAGTCTAACCAAACTAAAAAAATTGCTACCCATTGGACAAAATATAAGACTTTTAAGGGTCTGTTTGCAACAGCTTCTGCTTTTAAAAAAGTGCTTTTTCTAAAGAAATGGGGAGAAGTGATTAAATAAAAGTTGATAGTGTTTGAGAAAAAAGTGATTTTGAAAAGTAAAAGTGGGTAGTGTTTGGTAAAATAAGTGTTTTTTGTGTAATAGAAAAAGTAAAAGCACTTTTGGCGCGGAAGCCGAGAAAAATAAAAGTTGTAGTGTTTGGGAAAATAAGTGTTTTTTAAAGCCAAAAGCTGAGAAGTTCTTTTTTAAAATGAGTTGCAAACCAACCCTAAATATAGTAATTCATTATTATCATTACGTCAGTGCCGCAAAGGCTCCCAATTATGGTGGGGTAAGGAGTCGGATGTACGCAGTCTTACCTCTGTACTAAAGTACAAAGTGAAAGCACAAAGTGACTGTTCCCGGATGCCCTATACACTTTAAAATATAGTAATTATCCTACTAAATACAAACAACATTGCACAAATAGGACTAAAACCTAAATCACAAATACAACTAAACATTAATTTTCTACCCTTAATACACAAATCTAATTAATTAATTGTCCTTACTAGTTCTTTTGGGCAACCGGGGCAGCTGACAGTGGGGTCATAAAAATTCTGAATTTTTTTTGGCCCAGCCGGCGCTCAGGTGGCGGTAGGAGTCCGGCGGTGGCAGGGGCAAGGGGCATGTGATGGCAGGATTGGCAGGGACATTTTTATCCAATCACAAATAAGTCCTCTTTTTTTTTTGGAGCAAAAGTCCTCTTTTAATCCTCTTTTAATCATATTTAGGTAATTCACTCCTCTATATAGGAAGATGCTTTCATACACTTAAATGTATTGATATATCAAGACCGAGTTGAGTCAGCTGACAGGAACACCACAACCACTCCAAACTAATAAAAAAATTCAATATTAGAATAAGCACAAGACTACAAGAGAACAACTCGTGACACTTACAGGCAGCAATGACATGACATTACTGGACCACATGCAATAAGATCAAAATTTCTCCCTATGATTATCCCACGCACAAGGGCTCACTTTGTCAACTTTCCTTTTTTTGTCCCATTAACTTTGTCACTTTTTTTTAAACAAAGAATTTATGGTTTCTGTTAACTCTCTCTTTTCTAAACAAGTCTCATTCACACAATTTTTATTTTATTATTCTACATGTCAGTTAACTTTGGCAAAGTTTTGAAGGACGGAGGGAGTAACTAAGTGTCGCCTGCCGGAGTTTATGCTTCCATAATCGTGGAGTTTATCAACTACCTCTAAAACCCCTAGATAAGTAAGTCTTGGTTTGATCACACTTCATCTTTGTTGGTAGTGGCTCTAAAGCCCCTTCTAGACTGCTCCTCCATCCATACGCTATGTTCATTACCCTTCTCTCTCTCCTCTGCCTGGGCTACTCCGGAAGCACTTTTAAGAGTTTTAGGGAGTGTTTGCAACTGCTTCTGCTTAAAAAAAAGCACTTTTGGAGAAGTGATGAAAAAGTGATTAGTAGTAAAAGTCGATAGTGTTTGAGAAAAAAGTGATTTTGAAAAGTAAAAGTTGATAGTGTTTGGTAAAATAAGTGCTTTTTGTGCAATAGAAAAGAGAAAAACACTTTTCACACGCAAGCTGAGAAAAAGTAAAAATTGGAAGTGTTTGGTAAATTAGTGCTTTTTTAAGCCAAAAGCTGAGAAGTGCTTTTTTTTAGCTATTGCAAACACTCCCTTAATATGAATATATGTACTACCTTTGTCCCTTAATTTACTTCTGTAGTACAAATGGCACACGGATTAAGAAAGTGAGAATTATGTGGGGAGATTTGTGCAGAGGAGAGAGAAATGTGTAAGAATTGATGTGAACCACAAATTCTTTGACATTAAACTATCTTTTTAGGGAAAATAGAAACTAATAATTCAATCTTTTAGCGATTTTCTTACAATAGTCCCACCTTTTGATTATACATGAATAATCCAACCTTTGCACCTCATCTTCATTCACTGGTCCCTGACCGGTTCATGATCTGTTATTCCAAGTTATTTTCTTATCTTTGCAAACCATTATACCATAAATCTCACCTTTCACAAAGATAATAACTTGGAACAGCAGGTCATGAACCGGCCAGGGACTAGTGAATGAAGATGAGGTGCAAAGGTTGGATTATTCATGAATAATCAAAAGGTGGGACTATTGTAAGAAAACCGCTAAAAGGTTGGATTATTAGTTTCCATTTTCCAATCTTTTTAAAGCTACTCCGTACAATTTACTGAAATATCTTTTGGAAGTAATAAACATTAAACTACGGAGTATTAAACTATCTTTTGGTCAAACAAAAATGGAAGGAAACAAAAAGCTACTCCGTACAAGTTACTGAAAGCAAAAACATGTTTTTTACTAACCCATCCATAATGGCAGCAGTATCAAAAACACCATGTCCTCTATGCACCATGTGGTCGTCCATGGGAATGACCATGGCAGCTGTATCAGTTACTATTCCTCCGAAAATGCTAGAGTACATTGCCAGATATTGCTCCTTCTTTGGGTAACTCTCCCTACTTGCTCTTAGCCTCTCAATGGCCTGTAAAGAAGACCAATAAATATCCCAGTCTCCCAGACAAGTGGCATGACTGGTTATGATGTCGGGTGCTTTGCACATTATAAGGCGTTTAGTAGCGTGCAAAATAATTACTTTGCATGTGTAGGGATGTAAATGATAGACACTTTTTAAAACATTATGCAGTGTATTATGTAAAGTACTTCAGGTGTCGGAGGGTGGTAAATATATTAAATGCTTTTTATGAAGCACTTCAATGACTTTGCATGTGATATAAAAAGAAACTACGCACTCAATCGAACAAAGTGATTGCTTCTTAAGCTTTGCATTCGATCATTTTGCATGCAAAATTTTAAAACGTTTAAATACCTCAGTCAATCGAAAAAGGCAGAGTATTTACATTATTTCATACGGAGTATATATTAATCATGTAAAACGCTCTACCACAGATCACACTCCCCGGAGTAAACCATTTTAAATGGTATACTGCAAAGTTTTTAAATAGTTTTATTTTAAGTAATTGCAAACTCTCAAGATGATTTAAGCACCAATGATTATAAATAAAAAAAATCAAGATAGAATGGATTCATACATTCTTCCCCATTTAACCATCTCAATTCTCAACAAGAAAAAACATAAAGGTAAGGGCGTTAGGCAGACCTCATTGCAGGACAGAAGTGTGACGTCTGCAGATGATTGAGAAGTTTGTGCCTTTTCAATAATTCCTGAAACAAAAATACATTTTAAAATAATACTCCCTTAAACACAACTTTTTACTTTGGTATTCCTTGATTTTGCCGTCACAAAATAAACTTTCTATTTCCAGGAACTTTTTATTTTTATTTGCTTTCTACATAAAATAAGACATTGGTAACTTCTTATACTCCGTGTGATACAAAAAAATACAGTAATTTTCTTATATGCAGTGACTACAATTATACACGGAGTATATACTTTTACACTAGTCTTCAGTGATCACGATGTTATACTTATAGTAACTTTAGTCACATGTTTATCCATTAATTTAATTTCATTAATATTTAGGAAAAATCTCATAAGATATAATTGGAAAATCAAAGAAAAACTGTATTATGCAAGTGTATAAAGAAGATGTTTTGGAAACTGCATCTTATGTAAACAAGTACGTGTAATAAAGAGAAATACAAATGCTCCAAATTACTCTTAGAAAAATCTATTCTCTTTACTTTTGAGAATTCATTTCCGGAAGGCCGATTCTGATTCTGTTTCTACTTTTCAAAAGAGTGATTATACTAGCTTTTAACCAAGAACAAACGCAAAATCATTTCCGAATAACAATTAATGTTTAAAATGAGTTACCTGGAGAAGTTTGGATCTGATTTGAGTGAAGGGAAGCGGATGATGGAATGAAGGTGGATGAGGCAGAGGTAGATGTAGGATTGCCGACTGAAAATCGTGGCGGTGCAAGATTGCTGGGAAACAAAACGCAAAAAGTGGGATTTTTTGGAATGGGATTCGAGAGAGATGAGAAGGAAGCCATTTCTGCCTGCTTTGAATTGCTTCACTTGCATTCACTTCACGCTAGTGAAGAAGAAGAAGAAGTAGTGTGACAGGTGTGTCCTACATGCTGCAAATCATACAGTTGCAGTCTCCAAGTGTGCCCGAACGGCACTCTTTTTGGACGGTTATGCAAAATCGAGTTTATATTCTACCTCCCATATTTATCTTCATAGTTCGGTTTACAATGCTTGACTAACGATAAAGCAACTCGATCCCTGTTCACACTCGGATTATTTTTAGTAAATAAAATTTACATCTTCAAGGCTGGGAATAATAGATTTCTTTCCAAGGCTGGGAGGGAGGTTCTTTTGAAAACAGTTATTCAGGACATGCCGACTTACGCAATGAATGTTTTCCTTTTACTCGTTGACCTCTGTCGAGAAATTGAAGTAATAATGAATGGGTATTGGTGGAATGGTCATGCTGGGAAAGGGATTCGCTGGAGGAGCTGGGATTTTCTGTGTAGACCAAAAACAGTAGGGGGGATGGGGTTCAGGAAGGTCAGGGAGTTTAATTTGGCTATGTTAGCTAAACAGGCTTGGAAGCTCTTAACAGAAACAGAAACTTTGGCTGCAAGGGTTTTTCGTGCAAGGTATTATCCAGGCGGTTCTTATCTAACGGCAAAAATTGGGAATAACCCCTCATTCATCTGGAGAAGTCTGGTTGAGGTGCAGAAAATTATAGGGGAAGGAGTTAGATGGCGGGTTGGGGATGGGAGCTCCATTAACATCTGGAGAGATCCCTGGTTGCCTGATGAGGATAATCCTAGGGTCTCATCGGAGTGTTTTCATGGTCTGGAGGGAGCTTCAGTTGCTGGTCTTTTCAAACCTTTAAGGGCAGGTTGGGATGAGGATATATTGGTGGATCTCTTCAATGCTAGAGATTGTGAACTTATAAAAAGAATCCCAGTGAGTAACAGGTCGGTGACAGATCGCTTGGTCTGGGCGGGGGAGCAAAACGGCAGCTTCACGGTGAAGAGTTGCTATAGGAGGATTACATCCGGTTGGGTGGGTGGGATGGACGGCCATGTGGCGATTTAATTTACCTCCTAAAATGAAATCCTTTTTTTGGCAGGTATGTACCGGTTGTCTCCCTACAACGGAGAATCTAAGACGGAGGGGTGTGGCTTGTGAGATCAAATGTGGACTCTGTGGCCAGGATGGAGATGAATCCTTGCTTCACCTATTTGTAAAGTGCCAAGTTGCTAGAGAAGCATGGGGGACAGTTCGTTGGCTGGAGGTGGGCCAATTAGCTCATGACTTTTTGGAATGGCTTGAATTGAATTTTAAGGTGCTAAAGAAAGAAGACATTGCTGGGATTATCTCTGGCTGTTGGGGGCTGTGGGGAGAACGAAACCAAAGAGTGTGGAAAATGAGGCATCTCAGTGGGTTGCAGGTGATGTTAAAGACCAGGTCATATGTTGACAGTTGGGTTAAAGTGCAGCAACCAACATCATTTTTTAGGAGTAAACTCACCGCTGGCGCAATTCACTGGCAGCGACCTGGTGCAGGGAGGCGGAAAGTTAATGTCGATGCCTCAACCGGGGGAGAGAGATGCGGGTTCGGATGGGTTGTAAGAGATAGCTATGGAATATTTTTGGCAGGTGGATGTACTTCAGGGACCGGTAAGTTTACCCCTCTCGAAGCTGAACTTATGGGTGTGAGGGAAGCTCTCAGTTGGCTTAAGGCTCAACAATGGGATTTTATTGATGTGGAATCTGATTCTCTTCTAGCTATTCAAGAAATTCAAAGGGGTTCAAGTTTATCTTATTCTGGAATTTTAGCCGAGGATATACGAGATTTGATGACTAACTTTGTTAGTATTATTTTTTCTCATGTTCGACGATCAGCGAACCGTGCAGCTCATGCGATGGCTAAGGCAGCGGGTTCTTTGTCTGATAGTCATGTTTGGTTTTTTACTTCCCCTCCTTTTGTTACTGATGTACTTGATTATGATTTGATTAATAGCAATTAATTTTATTTTTCGCAAAAAAATTTACATCTTCAGAAACTACATTAAAACCGCTACAAAGCCTGATCAAGAAAATTTAAGTTTGATAAAAATTTGATATATAAAGTAAAAGATTAAGAGTAATTTGAGTTGACCATGTGAATAGTAACTATGAAGATAATTTTGGAACGGAGGGAGTAACATTTTCTAATCTTATTTCTTACTCCCTCCTTTCCGCTCTTAACTCCCTATTTTGACCTACACATATTTAAGAAATAAATTTGACTTTAGTGTAGTACTGTTTCAACACTGTTTGACACTGTTTGATGTAGGATAACTTTCCTTTTAAGGGAATGAGAAGATAATTTTGGGACGGCCCAAGAAAGAAAACAGGAAGTTAATAAGAGGACGGAGGAAGAATTATACTTTTAAACTTGTTTCTAATACTCCGAAAAAGATTATGATAGGGATGACTTGTACTCTTGTAGAAAGCACTCTGTAGGAAAATGGAGTTCGAATAAAACTTGGTGCAAGCTAACAATAAACAATTGTTTGTTACGTTCATCATTTACAGTTTGGTAGTACGAGTAGGTACTTATACGAAGTACGAAGTATACAAGTACGATAAGAGCTGGTTTAGCAACATTGTTTTTCGGCTTATCAGACAACTTTTTCATCAAACACGTAACTTTTGCTTTCGCGCGCTGAATTGTGTAATAAGCAGAAAAAGTGAGGTTGGAGTTACTTTTCTGGCTGTATCGGCTGAAGTTACTGTAGATAACCATTTTAGCTATTTTTACATATAATTTTTTCTTTATTTTATGAAGAAATTCCACTTTTGGTCCTACGAGTTTGAGGTCAATTCCACATTTAGTCCATCTCACTTTGTCCACTTTTGATACATGACTATTGAGTTTTCGCTCATATATGGTCCTTCCGGCATGGTTTGAGATGGTTAAAAACACTGAAAAAAGACCACAAATGGTTAAAAAACATTAATGAAATACGCAGTCTAAAGGTGGAATTAGCACAAAAATCGTGGGACCAAAGGTGTAATAAATTCTTATTTTATTAATAAAATATATTTTAAAAATACTTTTTCCTGAAATCACCAGAATCAGCCACTTCAACCACAACTTCATAAATTTCAGCAGAATCAGTCAAAACAGTTGATTTTGGTGCTACCAAACAGGCTCTAAGAAAGACTATTCTTTACTACTCCGTACAATAATACCTTGTACTAAAAAATTATTTATGAAAATGTGATCGAGTTAAACTACTCTTTCCGTTCCTGAAACAAGTTTCATCTTTCTTTTTTGGGCGGTCTCCGAATGAAGTTCTCACTTCCTTACATTTTTTACTTGGCAAATTATCTACATCAAAACCAACAGTGTCAAAACAGTAAAATTTACCTTTAGTAAATTTATTTTCTTAAGATATGTGAAATTCATCTAGGAATTTGTTTCAGGTACGGAGCAAATATTTAGCAAAACACAATGACTAATACTCCTTCCGTATTTAAAAGATCGCTACACTTTCCTTTTTGGAGTGTATTTCAAAGTTTGCTACACTTTCCCTTTTTGTTAAGTTTTTTCTTTAAAAATACTCCATTACCCTTACTTTTTCTACCTTTTATCTTCTTTTTCCTACTTTTGCACATTCTCTCCTACTTTTTCTACATTATTCATTTCCCCTATTATTTCCTGTTAAATATTGTGTCATTGGTGTCACCACTAATGTATTGATCATTTAAATACGGGAATATCAAATTGTTCAGAAAAGATCAGGTCCATCCGGAGGGACGGGAGGCTCCGTCCGAACTTTACTGTTTGGGGCGGTTCCCGGTGGAATTTTTTGATGAAAATTTTTGAGCATGTTCCTCATCAAGTCTAGTTTATCCATACCAAATTTCAGCTCAAAATTCAATCGGGAAGACATTCAAATAAATTCTTGAAACATAGTGCACATTCTGTGCACATATAAAGTGCAGTATGTTTCAAGAATTTATTTGAATGTCTTCCCGATCGAATTTTGAGCTGAAATTTGATATGGATAAACTAGACTTGATGAGGAACATGATCAAAAAAATTCATCAAAAAATTCCACCGGTGACCACCCCAAACAGTAAAGTTCAGACGGAGCCTCCCGCCCCTCCAGATGGACACGAGCATTCCTCTCAAATTGTTATCACAAAAAAAACATAACTGATCATCATTTTTTAAACGGGAAACTCCAAACTCAACCCGAATGACGTCTTCAGAGACCGAGGTGATTGACCGAATTACGACATCATTCCCGCGGAATAGAAATTGTTGATTATTAGGTAGGCAGCCAGCTAGCCATCCGAATCCCCATTAAGCACCACAAATGACTTTTTCGTAGTACCAGTGGATTGACAAAGAGATTCACAAATCACGAAGGAAACCAATTATTAATCCCGGATCATTATAGTTTCAATTCCAGAAAAAATATGGCAGATTCCCTGTAAATCCCAGGCTTCTAAATTTGCTCACTTGAAGATTCTCTATTGGGTTATCCTGGATTGAAGCTCTATCTAGCCTTTCACCAAAAAGAAGAAAGGGTACAAGAAAATTGCGGGAATGTTATTAAACGATGGTAAAGTTCAGATTTTTAGCCAAAGCTGTGTACTTTTTTCTGGAAACAAACAGGCCCCGTTATTGAATCTCTTGTAAAATTGAATCTTTGTACATTCTGGTCTAAAGAGAATGGGATGCGAGGTAGATTGCATGTGGAGTCTCAGTAGTTTAGTAGGGGCTTTTCTCGACCTAGCTATAGCTTATTTCTTGCTCTGTGCATCATCTGTAGTTTTCTTGGGCACCAAATTTCTAGGTTTATTTGGATTGCCCTTACCTTGCCCTTGTAATGGATTATTTGGGACAGCATCAAATAGGGACCTCTGCTTGAAGAGGCTCCTGGTTGATTTCCCCAATGAGAAAGTGTCAAATGTTCATTATTCTGTGGAAGGAAAGTTCCCTTTTGATGATCATAGTTGCCGTGTTAATATGAGATTGATTAGGGAAAATGATAACAACAAGTTCAATACAAGTCACGGGCTTATTCAAATGGAAGAATGCCAAGAAGCTTCATGTAGTTCAGTGACAGATGCAAGGAAATCAATCAGTGTTCCAAGAATTGAATTTAAGCCTAAGACTGTGACTGAGAGTGTTAGAGAAGGAAGGGCTGATGTGAAGGAGAAAGGGGCGTCGCTCTGTAAGAACAGAAGTGGGACACGTCGTCGTAGGAAAAGGGCTTTAGCAGTTGAGAATTGGATGTCATCATCAGTTTCATCGTATGATCCTCCGGAGACAGATTTTCAAAGTTGTCCGATTTCTCCTCCTAGTATCAACAAGGAAAGGAAGGGTATTAGACTGTTGAGAGAAGACAGCAATGAGCTTTATGGAAATGGTATTGATGCTCGTTGTTCCCGTAAGTTCCCATTGTCCTTGTTAGTCTTAATATGAGTTTTGTTAATGAATTTAAAAGGTGCACATTTGTTTCGTACTCATTTGATAAGTCATGAGGCTTTATGTTAGTCATTACTCAGAAAAAAGGATGCACCTAATCTCTGAGGGTCCCTGCACTGTTTAAACATGGTAAATTGAGATTTAATCATACTTTTGTTTATATATTATGAAGTCTACATTTGGTCATCCGGTACAAGGACATGTTAATCATAATTTCCCCAGCATAGTTTTCATTAATTAAACATGGGGTTATCCCTTTCTGCCCACTCCATCTACCAGCTGACCTATGCACCTGGAGCATCTTTCGCATTACTATATTTCATATATGGACGAGCCATTATTCCATTACATATGTTTCCTTTCTTGTAACCCCGGGCTGAAATGAATTGTCGTTTGGCTTCTTTTGTCTCAAGTAATTTCTATTTTAGGAATCTTATACTAATCTTTAAAAAAAGTCATGCTGACTCCTCTTAGAGTAAATGCTCGTTTCTTGAAAATGAGCATTGCAAATGAAAAAAGAATTTAATTTTAAAGTTAAATATTGATAGAAGGGAATTTTATAAGACTCCTTCAAGGTGTGTGTGTTCAATTTGTTAAAAACGATGTTTTTTAGGTGGAAAGAGTATATAGATACACGTAGGTATGGTTCCTGGGCACATGTATTGATGGAAACAGATATCCTCATCTTCACGACGAATAGTTGTACATGTAACAATTAAAGACATCTTAACCCCTCCTTAGAGCCATTAACCTCCCATTGGATATACATTGCTCCCTTTGTTTTATTGTTTGTTCCTATTCTTTTTCAGGAAGTTTTATTAATCTCCATTTCTTAGTTTAGCGACGCTCACTATCATTCATCTTCTTTTACCTTTACATATGAATCATTACTTTTTATCTTCTCTTTCTTACTTTCCTATCATCTATTTTCTACTATTCCCTACCCCTAGTATTTTCATCTTAAGCTCCAACTATTTCCTATTTGAACAAACAATAAAAACCTGAGGGGGTATAATGTTATTGCATCTGTTTTATGAATTTAGAACACAATGGACAAAGAGACGGTTTTGACTGGAATGGATTTCCTGATGAAGATGTGCAGCAAACTGATAAGAATGTCTCTTCTTATGAAGAGCTAAAAGCTAATGGTGAAAGTTCAAAAGAGCTCACGCAACTACGTGTTGAAGAAGAAGATGGTGGTGATGATGATGATGATGATGAAGGTGATGGTGGTCGTGGTGCTCTTTATCTAGAGCTCGAAAAGGAGAGAAATGCTGCTGCAATAGCTGCTGACGAGGCTATGGCTATGATTTCGCGCTTACAGGAAGAGAAGGCTTCGATAGAAATGGAAGCTCGGCAGTATCAGAGGATATATGAGGAAAAATCTGTTTACGATGCAGAAGAAATGGACATTCTAAAAGAGATCCTGGTTAGGAGGGAGAGGGAGAAGCATTTTCTGGAGAAGGAAGTGGAAGCATATAGAAACATGATGATTTCTGTCAGAAATGACGAACCAGATGGTGCTGGCGGCGATGAGAGGCAGCCTTTTGATTACTCACTATATGAAAGTGAGGATCCTATGTTGATGCTACACCAACTCAGTGCATCTATAGACAAGAAGACCATGACTAAGTGTAAAGGATTGAATGAATCATCAAATTCAGAACATAAGGAAGGTTCTAGTCCCCCAAAACAAGGGCGCCTAGCAAGCTATTCCTCCAGCAATCAAGTTTTTCAGGAGAAAGAGATGGTTACTATGGTCAATGATTCTTATGTTTCTGAACATAAAAAGGAAGAAAACTCACATGATCCATCTCTGGGATTTTGCCCATCAAATTCATCATTGGACAAAGTACTTCATGTTGTACATGATGTTCATGTAATAGATGATAAGGGAGAGCCATTCTCTACAAATGATAACCAAAATTCTGCTTCTTCTCAGATGATTGATGTTAACAGAGATGCTCCCAGTACCAGCAGTTCAGATCTCAATAATCAGGGCCTTCCGCCGTTAGGCCCCAAGACCATGTCCCTACAGGCTCGTGATGCTCTGCGGAGGCATTCCATGTCTACCTTTGACATTGAGAGGTTAAAACTTGACTTTGAAGTTGAGAGGCTTAGAGAAAGGCTGAAGAGCGTACAAGAAGGAAGAGAGAAACTCAACGTCTCAGTGGAGAATAGAGACGGAGACAAATTACAGCTGAAGCTTTTGGAGGATATTTCACGCCAGCTCAATGAGATTAGGCACCTCACACAACCTGGAAGGGGAATACGTCAAGCATCTTTACCTCCTCCATCATCAAAGGTACGTGACCTTTTTTTACTGATTAAATATGGACTGTGTTGGGGTCAATAAATTGGATCATAAGGTAATTGAGCCATTCCAAAATAAAAGATTGGCACTTGAGTCAAATCATTATAAAAGACAGAATCCAATCCAATTTTTAGCTGATTGAATCCAAGATCTTATTAGTTTCCTGATGTGGGGTTCTAACATGGCACATAAGGTGGTTCTTTTTTTTAGATTTTTTTTATTCAGACTTTATATTACTTGTGTGTTAAATATATGTATGCAAAGTTATCTACTTCTAGTTATTGTTGTTGCTGGAAACAAATTTACATTGTATCTAATAGTTAACAATAGTCATTGAAGCCTTGTGATTATTCTGGAAATTGACTAGGATAAAATTGGTTTTTGAAACAGTCTCCACCTATCAGGATACTCTTCTGGACTCCTACTTCATCTTTGAAATTAGAAAATGTGTAATTGTGTATAAACCTTTATAGTATCTCTGGTTCTTAGTGTTTGGTCAATAAATGAAATGTGAAATTCCAGCTCCTCTTAATATATATATATATATATATATATATATATATATATATATATATATATATAGGGCAGAGTTCAAATAAAAAGTACTCTTCCCGTGCAAAGTGCGAAAATTGCACTTTTACACGTTTCGCTTGCACTTTTGCTTGTTTTTGTTGCACTTTTTCATGGTGGCGAAAAAAAAAATGGGTTATTTATAAAACTGCCACCGTGATTTTGGCCGAATTTACCCAAATTCGCAAAGGCGAAAAAGTGCAAGCGAAACGTGTAAAAGTGCAATTTTTGCACTTTACATGGGAAATATGTATATACAACAACATCCAAGCCTTAGTCCCAAAAGATATTGGGGTCGGCTAACATATTTCGATTCATGTCATGTGATGTGACTAAGTAGTACTGTTGGCGGTCACGCGCCTACCACAACACCCTCCTCCTTTATCCTGGCTTGGGAAAGGCATGATACCAAAAAAATGATTTCATGGCAGAGTTACGAGAAATATATATATATATAAATTTAGGCCTTGAAATTTACTAGCACTAGGAAATTAATTTAGGGAAAAGGGGCAAATAAGCCCTCGAACTAATAAAAAAAGTGCAAATAAGCCCTTTTGTAGGAGGTTCTGTCCGATCATCATCATTTGGAGAGGTTCTCGGTGGAATTTTTTGATGAATTTTTTTGAGCATCTTCTTCATTAAGTCTAGTTTAGCCATACCAAATTTCAGCTAAAAATTCAATCGGGAAGGCACTCAAATGATTTTCGGAACTACACTGCGTTGTTTAACTGCGCAGTTATCTTAAAAAATTCATTTGACTGCCTTCCCGGTTGAATTTTTAGCTGAAATTTTGTATGGGTAAACTAGACTTAATGAATAAGATGCTCAAAAAATTTCATCAAAAAATTCCACCAGGAACCTCCCCAAATGACGATAGACAGACGAAATCTCCTACAAAAGGGCTTATTTGCACTTTTTTGATTAGTTCGAGGGCTTATTTGCCTCTTTTCCCATTAATTTATTATATATATATATATATATGTGTGTGTGTGTAATAATTTATTAATTTCCTAGTGCTAGAAAATTTCAAGGACTAATAGGTGGAGACTGGAGATACTATAAAGGTCTATACTAGCAACATGAAATTATGCTAGTAAAGGTTCCTAGCACTAGCCACTAGCACATCTCCGGTTTTTCAGTGCAAATTTCAAAGGCTTTATAATATTAGTCTTTGACAGCACCTCTGCTCTTCTCTAGCTCTTTTCATGTATATATCATTAGCAAACTCAATTCCCCTATGTTTGTATTTAAGTCACCACTCAACCCCAAAGTTTGCTTTCTCATTTAACCTGAAACCCTGAATTAGGCCGTTCTTCAAAAACCCTAGTTGACGAGGCATTACCTATCCTCTACCTTATATAAATTGAACTTAGCTGCTCTGAATATATTAATCTGTAATTTGCTCCTCATGTATGTACTAATGGTTTGCTTCAATATATTTCAGGGAACATCAAAGAAGAAGCGTTCTCGCAGTGTCTCTTCAGGGGTCCAGAATAGCTCTTAAGGTCAGCGTTCATCAAATCATCACTGAAGCCTTGGATGCAGTTTGATGACGAAACTGCACACATTACTTGAGTGAGATGTATCGGACCAAAACATGTGTGAGACAATTTCACGGTGAAACGTGACCGAAGTGTATTATAATAATACTTTGAGAGTATAAATTAATACTTTTAAAAAAACTGTTTTTTAAAAAGTATTACTTTTCACTTTTGAAGTAATTACATTTTGGTCACATCTCATTGTGAGTGTGTGTTAAAGGAGACCACCACCCCCTTTCCTGAAATTCTCCATCCTTGCAAGTTTGAAAAGCAGATCAGGATGATAGTGTATGCTAAGTGATTATAGTAGCTAACATCCACTGTATAGTTTTCCTGTATGTATCGCCTTTACGAGTGAACCTGTCCGTGTTAAGCACATGATTTCTATTACTATAGTCTGCTGCAACTTCATGTATTCTTGCTTTCTTTTCATCTCCTTGGAGCTTTTGATTTAACTTCTCTGATGTAAATAATGATGTTGCGGTATTGTCCCAACAATACCATAATACTTGAGAAGTCAAGAGACCGAAAGCCACAAACACCGAGCACTGAGACCGACTGATAGGAGGTGAAGCCCTTCCTCTGTTGCCCGGACCTTGGTGCTCTGGTTGCATACCGGACAGGCTGGGAGTGCAACGAGAGGTCCGGACCCGCATCATGGCCTTGAGGGTGAATACCTGGTACATCTTTTCATTCGCCAGGAATGGATTGTGGATTATGTACCGAGTACAACATAGATAGATAATACAACATTTGAAAAAGGTTATTCTCCATATGTCCTAATGTCTCAAAGGGTTCCTCTTTTCTTTTTTTCCTCTTATCTGAAAAAAATGCTATTATGTTGTCTCAGGGAAACAATTTTAAATAATATCTAATACGACCCATAAATTAATCATAATACATATCTGTGAAAATGTTTTTCAATATAACAAAAATGATATGAAATCACTCTTCGACTAGTAATCTAGTCATTTAACGCAAGAAAATCGATATTAAACAACCAAATAAGGTTTATTTCGAATTGATGTCACTCATTTGATATTTTGATATATGTTCTTCATAACTTAAATGATTGGATTTCTAGCGAAACTTAAATCGATACGTGCATATTGTGTGATTGAGATTATTTTGAAAGGAGAAGTGAAAATGGTGTGATTCAAATTACTATGAGGAGAGAGAAATAATTAGTGCATATTATTATTTTTAAAGACAAGGGAAAATTATTAAAGAAAGTAAGGGTTCGTTTAGTAGTTAAAACGTTCAACTTTGCACGTGAAATTATTATACGCAAAGTTTAAAGAATCAATCATTTTGCATGTAAAGTAAGATATATTATTTGGCTGGATGTGTAATTTACATTTAAATTACACGCAAAATCATAGGCACATTGCATTACTTTATAAAAAGCATGTAAAATATTTTACCACTATCCCTCCATGTAAAATACGTACTTTACATGGTACAATATGAAATTTTTCTAAAAGTGTTTTACAGTTTACATTAAACGGTTTACGTCCCTATACTTAACATGCAAAGTAATTATTTTACGGATGTTCTTAATATGAATTTTCAATTATTTTAAAATTTTTGAGAATTCATTCAAATATCCTAAATTCAGAATACCGAGGATTTAATAAAATTTGATGTGCCTGCTATTAAGCATTTTATGCATTTGATATGCCTGCTATTAACCATTTTAGCATTCCATTAAACTATGCATGTCATCACTTTTCTACTCCCTCCGTCCCATAAAGACGTTTCCGTTTGGTTTACTCCCTCCGGCCACTTATTCACAGTCAAGATGAATTTGGAAAAAGGACAAGTAAGCTCTTATACTAATTCAAAAATGTCACATAGACCTATGTACTAAAATAAGAATCATTTGACATGTCTACTAATAAAAGTTGATCAACTGCCTCAAAATAACCTGTTAGTGACCTATTCAATCGATTATATGCTTATGTGGATTATTTTGTAAATTTAAAAAATGAAGTAAAACTTCACCTAGTATTCAACGTCCCCTTTCATTTCTAATTTCTAATAATCATCTAGTTTATTTGTTATGCTTCAAGGAATGCTAAGTTCCAGAAAAAAAAAAACGGAAATGTTTCAAAAAACCAAAAAGAAAAAGAAACCTCTAATTGACCGAAAGAGATGAGTTGGTATGATAAAAAGTGACACATGTAACTTTTACCGATTAAATCCCGGCCTCTTTTAGATGGTGTGGTTCAATTGACCATCTTTTACGAGTACAAGGGTTTAAATGATACTACCTCCCTCCCATTTATATTGTCCCGGAAGAGGATGACACGGTTATTAAGAAAAGTGAGTTTGTATGGTTAATATTAATTGATAAAGTAAGAATAAAGTAAGAATGATTTAGAGACACACAAACTTTGCCAAATATGATATGAGACAATTTAAGGGTGACTTCCCGAAAATGTAAAACGGGACAATATAAATGGGACGGAGGGAGTACGTAATACTTTATTTAGTACATAAGCTCATGTGATGTTTTTGAGATAGTACAAGGGTTAATTTGACCTTTTTTCAATCAATTTGATTGAACTTTGTTGGAGCATAAACTTTGTAGCCTTCCATTAAAATATATTGGCATTGTTTTTTGTTATGCTTGCTAATTTATTGTATCATTTGCTATGTGTTAAAGAGTTTTGCTAGATGTACACAAAATGTGTACACATTTTGTAGACACATGTCTGTTCTTCACAGACAAGTTGTCGGTCATAGACAACTTATTTTCAGTTGTCTATGACAGACAATTTGTCTGTGAATGACAGACATGTGTACACATTTTGTGTATCTTAAGCATTTTTCATGTGTTAAATGTCAACATGATTGAATTAAGTTGGGTTTCGAGCGTGTGACATCTTCCTTGACAATGTTAGTGACGTCATCTAAAGAAAAATGAGTTCATTATTTAGAGAAAAGTAATATAACGAAAAGTATATGGCCGGCATTTTATCTGAAAAAAGTTCATGTGTATAAATTGAGAAGATTAGTACAAAGAATATGCATTAAGAGTATGTTTGACACAACTAACTGAAAAGATACTTTTGTGAGCTTTTTAATAACTGTTAGTTTTTAGTGACTAAAAAGATCTTAAAAAGAAAAGGTGTTAGCTGTTTGGTAAAAAGCTGACTGTTTGATTTAGTTCGGTTTGGTATACAAGCTGTTAACACTAATTAATACAAAAAGTTCTTTTCCCAGATGCTACTCCCTGTAGCATCTCAAAAAAGATCTTTTAATTTTCGAAAAGCTCTTAAAAATTGTTATGCCAAACAAACAATTAGAAGCTTTTAGAGACTTTTTAAACAGTACAAAAGCTAGAAGTTGGAGACTTATGTGTGCCAAACATGCTCTAAATCTTTTAACCAAGAAATTGATTTTTTTTACATCGTTTGAATGATCTGTCTTCTTACAAACAATAAAATACATATATAATTTTTCGAGTTTTTTTCCATAATAATGCAAAATAAAAAAGTATTTATGAAATTGGGGTCGAGTTAAAACTATTTACCAAAATAATGCTGGAATAAACTAGGATTAGAGAAAGCCGCCAAACCATTTGGCAACTCTCTTGGATAATACGGAGGAAGTGCGTAAAAGCAAAGAAAGATTGGCTGGGAGACTAAGAAGAGGTGGGGCCAATGTAGAAAAAAATCATCTTTTTCCTTTAAATGGCTATAACTTTCATATTTTTGCTCCAAATTGTTTTAAAAAATATATCAATTTTATAACTTTTTGTGATCTTTAAGATGACACAAATATGTAATATATAAATTTAAAAAAAAATTGAAGACCATATGGGGTGTAAAAAGAGTTTTTTCTATTTTTGATCCCTCGACTATTATGTCAATGTTACTTTTGGTACTCGAATTCTAATTTTTCTATTTTTAGTCCTCGACTATTGTGTTAGGGATACTTTTAGTCCCCGGTTTCAAGGTTTCCCACATTTAGTCCTCTAAGTATTATCAAATTGATACTTTTAGTTTTCTCATTATGATTTTGACACATTTAGTGGAGGACTAAAAATGTCATTATCATAATAGTTGAAGGACCAAAATTGTCACTTTTATGAAAGTTGAAGGACTAAATGTGAAAATTTTCAAAAACGGGTACCAAAAGTGTCTATAAGACAATAGTCGGGTGATCAAAAGTGGCAAAAACTCGGTGAAAAAACTAATTGCAATTATCCACCGTCAATAAACTTAATTCTCAACCAGTTTAAACAAAAATTATGTATTCACTCTGTCAATTCAATTTTTAAATATACTTACCCAACATAGTTTTTAGTTAAATTTTAACACTTTTTAATCTACATCAACTTTTAACAGATTTTTTTACGAAAATCTTAATATTCGATTGTCTTGAGTTTTTTAAGTTCAATTTTTTTTCTTAAGCAGATCCGAGGGTTAAAATTAAAATCTCATCTATATTTTATACATGTTTTAGTTATTTTTCGAGAAAATACTTGAAGCAATAAAAAATAAATTCCAAATTTTTATTCCATTGAAATGTTTAATTTTTTAAATCAAAATGTCAACCAAGATTTTATTTTCTTCAATGTAAAAATTCAAGAGTTTTTTTTTTGCTTTGAAATGTCTTACATTTTGAGCTTAAAAATTAAGCGTAAAGAACGGTAGGTGATAGAATCCTTAGATTTTCGTAAAAGAAAATCATTTAAAAGTTCACGTACATGAAAAAGTGCTAGAATTTAACAAAAACTATGTTGGGTAAATATATTGAAAAATTGAATTGACAGAGTGAATAGAATATTTTGGTTTAAACTAGATGAAAATTAAATTTATTGACGGTGGATGATTGCAATTAATTTTTTTATCCCATATGGTCGTCAGAAAATTTATAAACTTTATATATTACATATTGGTGTAATATGAAAGATCACAAAAAGTTATAAAATTTGATATATTTTTTAAAAAAATTGGAAAAAAAATATGAAAGTTATAACCATTTAAAAGAAAAAGAGGTTTTTTTTCTACATTGGCCCCACCTCTTCCCATACCTGTTAGTCTCTGGCTTTGCTTGTACGCACTTCCTCCGTATTATTGAGAGAGTCGCCAAATGGTAAATAGTTTGGTAAATAGTTTTAACCTGACCCTAATTTCGTAAATACTTTTTTATTTTGCATTATTCTGAAAAAAAACTCTATTTTTTCATTGCAATAATACTACTCTCCTTACCTTTTACTCCGGATAATTATATCATTCTTTGTTGTCTACAAAACTTTGTTATTTTGCTTAGGTCTCGAGTTCTTTGAGGTCACCCCGGTGCACAAATTTAACTTCATATGTAGTAGTTTTTACTCAATTATTTTCATGCTAGTCAAATTTAGTACTCCGTAATTTATTACTTACGGCTCAAAAAAATTTGTGATTTGATAAAATTTGGTTCATGATTTTGATTAGTGTAATATCAAACTTATAAATTTTAACTTTTGTGAAAGTAAGTTTTAAAGGGATAAAGTTTGGCCTTTTTATTCAAATATTACTATTAATTAAGGGATTCCCAATAAAGTGAGTTAAGTTTCAAAAATCCAAAAATATGACCGGTAATTCTATTCACAGCCCTTCATTTACTAAACACAACCACATATTTTTTATAACCCTATTATATCCTTATTACTATACTTCGTACTTAACAAATCTAATACAGCTCGTAGACCCTCCTAAGAACTGGAACACTGTTACAACCCCGTCAAATCATTGTAGCTCATGTATGAAAAGAAAGGAAACTCAAAATTAAATACATTACCGATTAAAAATGCCAAGAATCACAGATTTATATGTGTAGAAGTGGAGTTGATCAT